ATATATATATATATATATATATGTATATATAAATATATATAAATATGTATATATATAAAGATGTATCATTGTGAAATGATGAAGCACGTTGTTCCATAACAAATATAGTTGTGTAGGCGATGACAGTTATAACAACAAAAGTCAAGTTGACGTATTTTTTAAGTGGACGAAATATTCGTGTTTAATAAATTACAGGGCCGTAGCCACCGGTACGGTTGGGGAGGTTTCAACCTGACCACTTTTTGTTGTTTAAATTTAAGCTCCTCTCTCTTGGCACAACTCAAGAACCACAAGTCTGTGAACTCTGGGGTGAACGGTTTATGATAGTTTACATTATTTTAGATTTATAATGATTGATTAAGACACTATAGGATGCATTTTTCTTCAGTTGAAATTCAGTGTCTATGTGGGCTTAGCTTTTATAGAAATCAAGTACGTCAATTACTACACACAGTGAGCTTTTGCAGAAAATCAGACTAAAGGTTCCCTTATACACTTGCCTAGGTCTTATATTCATATTTTCACTAACTACCTAGTCAACTGACAAGAAAAAAACATGGCTTTATCTATATTTATTGCTGATAGTTCTAGTATGCATTTCTATAAATAAATATACTGTAAATATACCTTTTTTTAATAATAATAATAATAATAATAATAATAATAATAATAATAATAATAATAATAATAATAATAATAATAATAATAATAATAATAATAATAATAATAATAATAGTGTAGTTTTATATAGCGCACATATCCATCTAATGTAAGATGCTCAGGGCGCTTGAAATGTGGACTAGGAACTCGACCAATGACTTCTCCTAAATACATGTCAAGCGCGGATCCAGAGTTTACCCTGGCTATCACACACATGGGTTCCCATAGTGGGAGGGGTCATGAGAAGAGAGCGAGCTTGTTCTGTCGCTGGAAGACAAATTTTAGGTATGGGGTGGGGAAGTCTTCGGCTCCTCCTTCGAAAAGTTTTGGTTTTGTAGATGCTTTGAAATGCACTTTCGTCGTGCATTATGAGACGTCTACTGTAGAACCCCTATTAAGGGGATTCGGGACCAAAAAAATGTCCCCTTAATAGGGGTGTCCCCTGGATAGGGGTACCCCTATCCAGGGGAAACTTACAAAAAACGTGAAATTGTCCCCTTAATAGGGGTTTTTGGCATGTTTTCATATAACGATGACATACAATTCTTCATAATTTTATTTTTATTGACATAATTAGTTACAGTAGAATTTATAACTAATTTAATGGCAAATACAATTCAATTATAATATGAAATCAGCAGAAATGTAATTAAAACAACATTAGTTTTATATGTTCCCAATATTGTTTCATGACGCAATGTTAATGAATGAATTAGAATCAAGAATTGACAAGATTGGTTTATATGAAGTAACACATGCAGTATGCCTTACCGATATTCACTATAAGGATTTAGGAAGAAAATTCTGGTTTATTGCTCAAATTTCAAATTTCAAAATTCAATTGTCAATTTCAATTTATTCAGAAAATCTACGGAACAGAGAAGTAAATCAGTAAAATCCTACAGTAACTTTAAAACAATAGAACAATTTCATTAAAAATGATAAGTTATTCATACATATACCAGAATAATTAAAACAAGAATCAAGAAAAAAATTGAACAAATTCTCAAAATACAAAATTCAATCAAATCAATAAGAGGAGAGAACAGAACACCACTTAAACAGATACAAGCAAAATAACAAACCATGAAAATACTTAAACACACCAAACTACTACCAAACAAAGACGGATTATTTTACTTGGTCCCAAATTCTTTTTGCAATTTCAGATAAAATATTATTATTATTATTACGTACCATAGTCTAACAAAAGCTCCCTCTTGACAAACAGATAGAAAGGTGGTAAATGTGTCAATATTTAAAGTTTAGTGATTTTTTCCTATTTTGGGACTTGTATTTGTTGCGATACAATAGAAAAAAAATAAGTGTCCCCTTAATAGGGGTTATTTTACCATTTGGCACACTCAGAATGTGTCCCCGTCCCCTTAATAGGAGTGTCCCCTTTATAGGGGTTGGCCACAAAATATCATTATTATTATTATTATTAATATTATTATTATCATTATTATTATCATTATTATTACGTACCGTAGTCTAATAAAAGCTCGCTTTTGACAAACAGCGGTAGAAAGGTGGTAAATGTGTCAATATTTAAATTTTAGTGATTTTTTCTTATTTTGAGACTGTTGTATTTGTTGCAATACAATAGGAAAAAAATAAGTGTCCCTTTAATAGGGTTATTTTACCATTTGGCACACTCAGAATGTGTCCCCGTCCCCTTAATAGGAGTGTCCCCTTTATAGGGGTTGGCCACAGTGTTGAAAGATATATCGCCCCCCGTTTCACGGAAAAGTGTCCCCTTAATATAGGTGTCCCCTGAATAGGGGTGTCCCAAAGGTTTTTCCCTACTTTACTATGGACAATTAATAATTATGATTATGATGACGATGACGATAACGATGACGATGAAGGAGAAGAAGATGAGGAGGAGGAGGAGGAGGAGGAAGCTAGGTGATGACAGGCTCCTGTGCAAGATTAATTAACATTCCCTTTGATGTGAAGTGTCAAGCGAGGCCCGTAGCCTGAGTTTGGGTTGGGAATTTGGTGACATTATCGTCGTCGTCAAATGTTCAAAGCACACAGTTGGACAATAGTTATGATATCTCTTTAGTATAGAAAGTAATATGAAACCCATAAAGTATCAGTTCAGGAATTTATTTATCTGTCTGTGCAAAATATAACAAATGAATTATACAAAATAAAAAGAATACAAATAAAAAAAAAAACATTTAAAAAACATGTAGACTAAATCAAAATGGAATATTTACTGCCTGTTGGATCGCAATTTTAGTGCTGCAGGGGTTCCGAAGGCCTAACATATAACCAATCCCCGTATTTCTGATAGATTACTGATTAAAATGTGAATTATTTAAGATTTTATATTCAGTACATTCTCAAATGTCATATAAATCTCACACATGCAAACATTACGTTATATTCATGCACCGAAGTGGTACGTTTAACCTAATTATTTTGATGTGTTGTATGTTGTTTGGTTGAATGTTTTTTAATGATATTACAGTCTAATATGACATCAACATAAAGAAGTCCTCTCTTTCAACTTATAAACTTTGCGTAGCTCAATATGCTTTTATATTTCCTTAAATCAAGGAAGTCCACTCGTAAAATTAGCATAAATAGTACAGAGAATTTTGATTGACTCTCAATCTCAGGTATCCAAATTCCGACATAAGAACTTTAACCTAATAACTTTTATATGTATATGTTTTATATTGTTTGTTGAATGGACTTCTTTAATAATAGGCCTAATATTACAGTCTAAGATGACCACAACATAAGGGAGCCCATTCTGTAAATGTTTAGCATAAGTACAGGGAATTTCGATTGTTTATCAATATCATTATACATATATCCAATTTATACAGGCACCGACGTGGAAAGTTTGAACATAATTTTGATATGTACATTGTTTCATGTCATGTGTTGATTTGTCTTAGCTAATAATATTACAGTCTAAAATTCATATTATGATAACAACTTGGTGATAATATAACTTATTCTTAAAGGAAGCAGAATAATGCCATTCTTTCAACAACTGACTTTGACCAAAACCAAACTTGATTGGTGTGATTTTACTTCCACCAGGAAATTAATCAAACATGCATAAAATTGTCTCTTGTAGTTTTAAAATAACAAAATATAATAAAATTATATATGCATTCCAATATGATTATAAGAATCAACGCACATGTATATTCTCCGTGTGATTGATTTTTTATTAACCATACATCGTGACATAAATCAAGAGTCATCACGCAGCCTTTTAA